AAAAAAAAAAAAAAAAAAACCAACTTCATTAGGCCTCTTTCTCAAATGCATTTAAAAAGTTTTTCCAGTTGTTCTGAATTCAGCATTTCGCTGGTTTGCTAATGTAGTCTGTGCTTTGGTAATAGAGCTACGTGGCAATTCCTTATTAGTTCTTAAGTTTTTGCAATAAAAAGTGATTCAAGGGCTGGACATAGAAGCTCACGCCTGTAATCCCTACACTTTGGGAAGCCAAGACAGGCGGATCACCTGAGGTCAGGAATTCAAGACCAGCCTGACCAACATGGGGAAACCCCATCTCTGCTAAAAATACAAAATTAGCCGGGCATGGCAGTGCCTGCCTGTAATCCCAGCTACTTGGAAGGCTGAGGCAGGAGAATCGCTTGAACCTGGGAGGCAGAGGTTGGGGTGAGCTGAGATCACATTATCGCAGTCCAGCCTAGGCGACAAGAGCAAGACTCTGTCTCAAAAAATAAAAATAAAAAAATTAGCCGGGCGTGGTGGCGGGTGCCTGTAATTCCAGCTACTTGGGAGGCTGAAGCAGGAGCACCCAGTGGGCAGAGGTTGCAATGAGCCGAGATCACGCCATTGCATGACAAGAGCAAAACTCCCTCTCAAAAAAAAAAAAAGGTGATTCAAGGTTCTGCTCTACCTCTGAAGTGTCTAGTTTAAAACTTTGAATAGTAAATGGCAGTTTGCCAAAGCGCAGGACTTCAATGTCTTGTTATGTGTGTGTGAGCAGTGGGAACACTGCGTTCCTCACAGGTGTTTAATTAGAACCAATACTGGTAGAATGCCACTGTATTTTAGAGGTGCCATTTATTCCATACACGTTGATGTTTACAACATATATGTGGAAGGCTTCACTAATTTGCACGTCTTCCATGCACAGGGGCCATGCTAATCTTCTCTGATTCATTCCAACTTTAGTGTATGTGCTGCTGAAGCGAACACCATACAGGCTGATCTGAAATGAACCGTGGGGCTAGTAAGTGTGTTCTTTGGTCTTTCCCCTGTTCCACTAGGCTTCAGGATCAGGGGTGGCCAGCCCATTGTATATTCCCAGGACTCACCGGATTGACGTTGGTGGCACTTCCTCTGGTCTGGGCCAACACCATCCGGTAGAGATATGGGCCACAGGTAGAACTTACAATTTTCTAGTATTCACATTTTTAAAGTAATAAGAGAAATTTTAATAGATTTACTCAACCTGGTATATACAAAATATGGCTTGAACATGTGATCTGCAGAAAGACGTTATTTCAGTGGTGTGTGGAAACTTGGGGCAAAAACACAAATAAATGTTTTGCCTTTACTTCTGCTGAGCCTGCAAGATCTGATGTGTGGTTGGGTTGACAGTGCATCTCAGTACATACCAGCCTTGTCTTTGTGTTCAGTGGTCACGTGACCAGGGGCCCCATACTGAAGTGCACAGGTCTAGCCCTTTGGGTCAAGCATGTCCTAGGGGTAAATGGTGGATGCCTCCTCATTCCTTAAGACAGGCAGTAGAACGTGGTCCAGGTTCTGGATATAGGCGTCCTGGGTTTTTTGTTTTGTTTTGTTTTTAGATGGGAGTGTCACTGTGTCACCCAGAGCGAATCCTTTACCCAGGCTGAAGTGCAGTGGTGCAATCTTGGCTCACTGCAATATCAGCCTCCCAAGTACCTGGGATTACAGGTGTGTGCCACCATGCCTTGCTAATTTTGGTATTTTTAGTAGAGATGGGGTTTCACCATGTTGCACAGGCTGGTCCTGAACTCCTGACCTCAGGTGATTGGCCTGCCTCAGCCTCCCAAAGTGGTGGAATTACAGGTACTGCCGGTTTGAAATCTTGGCTTTACTACTTTTATGCAGCTTTTTTACAAATTTACTTCATTTCTCTTTATCTCAGATGTATCATCTGTGCAAATAATCCTTGCCTATAGGGTTGTTGTGGGATTAAGTGAATATAATTTACTTGTAAAGTGCTTAGAATAGTATCTGGCATATAGTAAGCACTTAACAAATGTAAGCTACAGCATTAAATACCTGAATGTGTTTACAGTATTAAACACTGCTCTATACCAATTAAAATTAGTATTAAACTCTACTGAATGTGGCTTAATTTGCCTCTTAGGGAAATTATGAGTGGTCATAGGAATAATTTCAAATATAGAAGTTTCTAGAGATTTTTGGCATAACCAAGATACATAAAGAAGACTTTTCAGGGAAGCTTAAGAGCAGTAAAAGAAGTCTGGCATCTGTAAACTAGTCATACCAATATTAAATAATGATGGTGTGTGATTTCTTACTAGATGTTAATAAACTATTTTGCTGGGCATGATGGTTGATACTGTAACCGCAGCACTTTGGGAGCCCAAAGTGGGCAAATCACTTGAGCTTAAGGAGTTTGAGACCAACCTGGGCAACATGGCAAAACCCGTCTCTACCAAAAGGACAAACAATTAGAAGGGTGTGGTGGTGGTGGTGGTGGTGGTGGTGGTGGTGGGCACCTGTAATCCCAGCTACTCAGGAGGCAGAGATGGGAGGATCACTTTAGTCCAGGAGGCAGAGGTTGTAGTGAGCCAAGATAATGTCACTGTACTCCAGTCTGGGTGGACAGAAGAAAAAACAAAATAATTTTACCCTGTCTAATTGTGCCAAAATCCTTGCAGAGTGGCAAGCTTCCAGGTCATTTATCAGTAATCAGCGTGTACTCTGTGCTTGTAGGGCCATGAAGCCCCCAGGAGGAGAATCGAGCAATCTTTTTGGAAGTCCAGAAGAAGCTACTCCTTCCAGCAGGCCTAATAGGATGGCATCTAATATTTTTGGACCAACGGAAGAACCAAAGAACTTACCCAAGAGGACAAATCCCCCAGGTATGGGCCTTCGGAAATTTCTAATCCTTCGGCTCTACCTACTCTTGTCTGAAAATATTTTCTGTTTCTTTATACTGATCCTTTCCCATATTTTCTGATTCAGGTAATCACTTGTCATCACAGTTCTTCCAAAATGAAAACGTTCTTAATTGTACTTTGTCTTTGAGGTGGATTGAGCAGTCTTGAATTCTCCATTTATTCAGGAGACTTTGGTTGAATACAGGCATTGAGGATACAAAGGTAGATGGAGTCTTCTGGATCCTGCAGGGAGCTGCTCCCAGTTGTTCCACGGACCCCCTTGAGATTCCTGAAATTACATGCAAATTATTGTGGATTTAAATGTTTTCCTTAGGAAGGGAGAGTGTTTTTAATCAGATCATCAGTGGAATTGAAACTCTTCACAAGGAAGAATTGATCTATCATACGTCTACGTGGTTCTCCAGTATTTACCCGACTTCGTAGTGCTTACAGTGGGAGGGACTCTTTGAAAAAGGTTTCTCTTGGCCGAGAGACTGTCCAGTTGAATAACCACATGGTGGAGGTTACCTGAGTAGCTTTGCCCTGTCTGTCCAGGAGGGGAAAGCATGGTGTCTTCCATCCTTAGAAAGTTTGGGAGGCCATGCTCAGGTGTCGGTGTGTCAGGCAGGTCATGAAGCAGAGCCAGATCCACTCCCTACCTCACCCCATTTTGTGGTACCAATATTTCTTGACCAAATGTAGAAGAAAAAAGCAGTAGATCCAGAACTTAGTTTTTTGTTTTGTTTTGTTTTTTGTTTGTTTTGACACAGGGTCTCACTTTGTCACCCAGGCTGGAGTGCAGTGGCACCATCACGACTCACTGCAGCCTTGACTTCCCAGGCTCAGGTGATCCTTTTTTCTCAGCCTCCTGAGTAAGCTGTGATTACAGACATATGCCAACACACTTTTTTTTTTTTTTTTTTGGGTGGAGACAGCGTTTAACCATGTTGCCTACGGTGGTCTCAAACTCCTGGGCTCAAGCCAGCTGCCCACCTTGGCCTCTCAAATTGCTGAGATTACAGACATGTACCGCTGCGCCCAACGGAAGCTAGGTTTGCTGCTTTTTTCTTGGTCTGTTTGGTTGCTTTTTTGGATGTAGTTAAAGAAGTGTTTTAGCCGGGCACAGTGGCTCACACCTGTTAATCCCAGCACACTGGGAGGCCGAGGCAGGTGCATCACCTGAGGTTGTGGTGAGCCGAGATCACGCCATTGTACTCCAGCCTGGGCAGCAAGAGCAAAACTCCGTCTCAAAAAAAAAAAAAGAAAGAAAGAAAAGAGCAGTGAGTGTTTCTTATTGAGTGACTCACATTCTTATTGTTTCCAGTTGATGAGCTTAGGGCCAGGGGCTCCTGCCTGTCCTCTGTAGCAAGGCTGGTGGAATAATACATTGCACGCAAGACAGAGAATCAAATCTGAGGCGCTTCCAGGCATATGAGTCTGCTTACTCAGCCCCTGCTCAGCAGAGCTGTCCCTAGAGCACTCCCTGGAAGGCAGGCAGTACCACCTTGCCCGTCCCACAGTCTGATGCCCAGTGGGGAGCCCGGCCCCTTGCAGCTGGCGAGCCAGCCTCTGCTCCCGGTCACAGTGTTTGGTGCCAGCCATCATGGCTCCCCATGCCAGCTTCCTGCTTCTCGTGGTCCTTCTCACAGTTGTTTGGAGTTTCTCTGTCCCTCCAAGTACTCTTTGAAAACAGTTAATGGGGCCAGGCGCGATTGCTCACGCCTGTAATCCCAACACTTTGGGAGGCCGAGGCGGGCAGATCACGAGGTCAGGAGATGGAGACCATCCTGGCCAACACGGTGAAACCCTGTCTCTACTAAAAATACAAAACAATTAGCTGGGTGTGGTGGTACATGCCTGTAGTCCCAGCTACTCAGGAGGCTGAGGCAGGAGAATTGCTTGAACCCAGGAGGTGGAGATTGCATTGAGCCAAGATTGCACCACTGTACTCCAGCCTGGGTGACAGTGATACAGAGCCCTTGGAAATCCAATCTAGCAGGAGGAAAAAACATAACTTGAATTTATCTTCAATTATGAGTGAATTTAGGCATCTTTTTTTGCTTCAAAACTGAATTTAGTTTTCATATATACAGTGTGACTACCTAGTTATGAAGGTCAGAAGCAGAGGTACGTTGTTTAGGTTTACACATATGTGGTAAAAATGTTTGTGGTTTCCAGAAAATTCAGGAGTTTGGTGACCTTGGGGAGGGGAGGCACGTAGGAGTTTCTGGAGACGGCACTGTTTTCTGTGGCCTGGACAGTGGTTGCCTGGTGTCTGCCTCGGAGTTATTTGTGATAGTTAACGTCTCACAGACTTTTCTGTGTTCTATTTCACCCTTTAACTATTTTTTTTAAATGAGTAGTATCTTTGGCCAAAAACTTCAAATTGAGTTACTTTTCTATTTTAAAAAGCTGGATTCACATTTGAAAAAAAAAAAAAAAAAAAAAAAAAAAAAAAAAAGCCATTGTAGGCCAGCCAGGAACACTGCAGTGGGGGCTGGGGTTTGCACACAGCAGTTCTCTCCGGCCGTGGTCCTGACGTGCTTGCTGACACAGCCCTGGCATTGCCGAGGGTTTACTCAGCAGGCCAGGACTGTTCTAAACACTTCACCTGCGTTAACTCATTTCGCCTCACCAGCGACCCTAGGTAGGTATTATTTTCTATTACCTTTTATGTTTTGTTGGGTTTTTGAGACAGGATCTCAATCTGTCACCCAGGCTGGAGTGCAGTGGCGTGATCACAACTCACAACTCCAACTTCTGAGCTCAGGCAATCCTCCCAACTCAGCCCCCTGAGTAGTGGGACCACAGGCTGATTTTAAAATATTTTTGTAGAGACAAGGTCCCACTTGTTTTCCAGGCTAGTCTTGAACTCCTTGAACTCCCACCTTGGCCTCCCACAGTGCTGTGACTACAGGTGTGAGTCAGCACACCTGGACTGTTTATATTACCTTTTTAAAACTAAGAAGATGGAGATGAAAGAAGGTTGGCAGGGTCTCACTGTTAATGAGCAGCTGAGCAGACTCTGACGCAGGCAGTCTGGCCACAGGACACCCTCACCACTGTGCTGTGCTGGCTTCCCTGGCTTCCCTGGTCAAGGGTTTCAGGCGTGGGGACTGTGGGTCCCTGGGAGGTCCATGGCTGACGTTTAGAAGGTTTATAATCACCCTCAATTAATATGAAAAATGTACACATGGCCGGTGCAGTGGCCCACCCCTGTAATTCTAGCACTTTGGGAGGCCGATGCAGGTGGATCACGAGGTCAGGAGATGGAGACCATCCTGGCCAACGTGGTGAATACAAAAAATATTTTGTATTCAAAATAGAAAAATTAGCTGGGCATGGTGGCAGGCAACTGCAATCCCGGCTATTCGGGAGGCTGAGGCAGGAGAATGACTAATAAATATGTTCAGGATTGCAGGTATGTTATTAAATTCAAAACTGTGTGACTTAAACATACAGTTGTTTTCATTTAATCTACTGAAGAACTTTTCATGGGTTTCGTGAGAAGACAGTTCAGGTGGAAAGCATGAAGTGTTCAAGGTTAAGGAAATTCTAGAGAGAAAATGTGCAGTTTGATGCCATCTCACCTCTAGAGGCCAGCCTAGATCAGCTCAGTTCTAGATGTGAGGGCTACAAGCAGGCCCCTGATATAGCAGTGGTTTTGACTAGCTCCTCAGGGATTTAGGTCTGAGCATCCTGCCCTGTTGCCCTGGAGCTGAGGGCTGGCACTGGGGGTTACAATGAGAGGACGTCTCTAAAGCGCTGCAGGTGTGGGGTGGGGTCCGGTGGACATCTGGTTGCTCAGTGGTCTGTTATTGTTTCTGCAGGGGGTAAAGGAAGCGGTATCTTTGACGAATCAACTCCCGTGCAGACTCGACAGCACCTGAACCCACCTGGAGGGAAGACCAGTGACATTTTTGGGTCCCCAGTCACTGCCACTTCACGCTTGGCACACCCAAACAAACCCAAGGTATGGACTACATTCAGATAGCAGACATGACAGAACAGAGCAGGTAAGCCAAGGACTCTTTAAAAAAAGCTCCAAGACATGTTTTTAGGGAGAATCACAGTGGATGACGTTGATTATTCTGGATGCAAGCATTAGTCATCGAGTTTGGAAGTTCCCCTGAGTCACCCAGGAAATAGTCCAGCCTTGGGCCGACTGAAGCCGGGAGGAAGCTCTTCCTGTGCTGGTGACAGGCGCCCACTTCAGACGGGCTGTGTGCTCCTGACTGCAGTGCTGCAGAGTGGGAAGAAGAGGTGGGGAATGGAGCATGCAGCAGAGGAGCTGGCCCTCGTCCATCTTCCACTCTTCCAGTTGCATCTGGGAAAGGAAAAGTGACAGTTCTTTTTCAATGGGCTTTTTCCAACACAGTTGAGGTCCTCGACTGGCTACCTGTGCAGATTGTCAGTGCTTGACTAAAGCGTAGTTGACACCTCTGACTCAGTAGTGGCACCAGTAGAATAAGACAAGTGGCCTGGAAAGGAGAGGAATGCCTGAGCAGTGTGACCTCAGGCATGGACTTAGCAAGGCGTGATCAGATCTGCACTCTCCCTGGGCCGTGGTGGAGGTTGCCTGCCACCAGTCTTGGCTTCCCTGAGGACCAGAGCCTGCAGCACCTACTCTGGCTTGGGCATGTGTTTGAGTGGCGGCAGAGCATTTCTAGGCTTTACCGCAGCCACTCTTCGTCAGTAATAAAGGTCAGGATTTATTACTAACATGATTCACAATATTTTCTCGTCTATTCAGTTGGCTACCTTTTTTGTGGTAAAAAGATTTGGTCTAGGCGGGGCGCGGTGGCTCACGCCTGTAATCCCAACATTTTGGGAGGCCAAGGGGGGCAGACTGCCTGAGCTCAGGAGTTTGCAAACAGCCTGGGCAACACGGTGAAACCCCACCTCTACTAAAAATACAAAAAATTAGCCAGGTGTGGTAGCGTGCGCCCATAGTCCCAGCTACTCAGGAGGCTGAGGCAGGAGAATTGCTTCAACCCGGAGGCGGAGGTTACAGCGAGCCGAGATTGCACCATTGCACTTCAGCCTGGGCAACAGAGCAAGACTGTCTCAAAAAAACAAACAAAAAAAGATATGGTCTAGTTCCCTAAAGCAGAAAATTCTTAAAATTCTTAACCATTTCTGGAGTTACTTACACCTAGGAAATTGCTGCACTTGTATTGGTTTCTATGCTGGAAGGTAGCCTGTTGCAGAACTGAAATGGAAATAGGGAAGGAGAGAACATGAATGGATGTGAGCGTCGACCATGGCCAGCTGGGTGGGATTGCCCTGCATCTCTCCTGTGCTGGCATCTCTGCAGCCATATCTGTTTCCAGTTTAGAGTCTCATGGGACCGCTAAATTCTGCTGAGGTGTTTTTTGTTGTCACTGTTTGTTTTCTTTTCTTTTCTTTTTGAGACGGAGTCTCACTCTGTCACCAAGGCTGGAGTGCAGTGGCACAATCTCAACTATCGCAGCCTCTGTCTCCCAGGTTCAAGCGATTCTCCTGCCTCAGCCTCCTGAGTAGCTGGGATTACAGGTGTGCGCCACCCTGCCCCACTAATTTTTGTATTTTTAGTACAGATGGGATTTCACCATGTTGGCCAGGCTGGTCTCAAACTCCTGACCTCAGGTGATTCGCCCGCCTTGGCCTCCCAAAGTGCTGGTATTACAGGCGTGAGCCACTGTGCCCAGTCATTTCAAGAGAGCATCTCTTAGGGAAGTATCATTGGGGGCTTTACTACAAGCTGAACTTTAGCCAGACCAGAAATGTCCTAAAAGTCAGCAGTTCAGTATGTGAAGCGCTCGAAATAGCCAAACACGAGCAGGTTCCTTCCTGCTGCGATTTCACACATTCCAGTGAACATGGATTGAGTGGAGGACTGTAGGCCACCAGTACAGCTGGTCGTAGAACGAGGGGAAACAGAATAGAGCTTTCTTTGGTTTTTTAAATAAAGTTCTTTTGGTCCAGGACCATTGGACATTTATAGCATCACTGAAGAAATGACTCATTCCAGGTCAGGGTGGTGAATGTACAGAATGAGCCTAGACTATCTTGTAATGCCAGAAAACGAGGAAGCCCTTAGAGGCTGCTGGGATGGTGTCGGAGGACTCGGGGACCAAGGTGAAGAGGAGCCGTGAGCCGGAGATGGGCCCATTGGATTATCAATAAGTAAAATAACTGCACTGGAGTTAAAGTCACCAACTATTTACAATTCTTGGCTTCATAATGATACTCAAAATCATCTAATTTATGGCCTTTGGAGAATGCTAGAAGACCAGCTCATCACTGTGGAATCTTGTGGAGGACAGAATGGACATTTAGCCAGCATTTTCTGCACGAAGTGTGTGTTAGGATAGCAGCTGTTGAAAGAAAGTCCACTTTTACAAAAGTGCTCCGGTCTGTAAGTGAAGAAGGAATAAAGGAGTTAGAATATCGCTGTTTTACAGACCTGTATGGAAATGGTGAATCTGGGAAATGTTCATCAATGCCTATTAACATGAGAAAGAGCCAACAGTTAAGGGCCTGGGAATGGAAGTCCACCATGGGTCACCATTGACGCTGTCTTGTCAAAAAAATGAAGCTCAAATCAGACCAACCCACATATTAACACCACAGAGCTGCACTCAGAACAATGCCTTATATAGGAATGACATGACGAACAGTAGAGGGAGGTCCTGGAGATTAAAGAGAGACAAAAATGTAGCCCTGTGAGAGTTCTAATGGTGTTTTATTTTGAAGTGGAGAAAAAAAAAGTCCTATAATTCTTATGGAATTTCATGGGAGCCCCAAGTATCCAAAAATAATAGTAGTTGAAAAAGATGTTGGAGGCTCATAATTCCTGCTTTCAAATCTTAATACAAAGCAACAGTAATCCAAACAGCATGGCACCGGCATGAAGACAGACATACTAACCAGAGGAGTCTAGTTGAGAACTAAGTAACCCTTCCAAATAAACCCTTTTGGTACATTAATGTTTTTCACAAGGGTACCATGACCGTTTAGTGGGGGAAAGAACAGTCTCTTCAGCACATGGCATTCGGAAAATTGCATATGCACATGCAGAAACATAAAGGCTTACTCTGCCTTACACCATAAACAAGAATGAACTCAAAATGGATCGAAGACCTAAAGTTAAGGGCAAAAACTATAAAATTCTTAGCAACAAAAATAAAATCAGTAATTTGGGCCATGCATGGTGGCTCACACCTGTAAAATCCCGGTACTTTGGGAGGCTGAAGTGGGAGAATCACTTGAGCCCAGGAGTTCCAGACCAGCCTGGACAACATAGGGAAACTTCATCTCTTAAAAAAGTTTTTAAAAAGTAGCTGGGTGTGGTAGCATGCATCTGTGATCCTAGCTACCTGGGAGGCTGAGGTGGGAGGATTGCTTGAGCCCAGGTGTTCAAGGCTACTGTGAGCAGTGATTTTGCCATTTGCTCTCCAGCCTGGCTGATGGAATGAGACCCTGTCTCAAAAAAATTATTAAAAGCCTGGGCATGGTAGCTCATATCTATAACCCCAGCACTTTGAAGGCTGAAGCAGGCAGATCGCTTGAGCCTAGGATTTTAAGATCAGCCTGGGCAATGTGACAAAACGCCTTCTCCACAAAAATAAAATTAACTGGGCATGGTGGCCTACACCTGTGGTCCCAGCTATTTGGGAGGCTGAGATGGGAGGATCACTTAAGCCCAGGAGGCAGAGGTTGCGGTGAGCTAAGATGATACCACTGCACCTCTGGCATGGGCAACAGAGTGAAACTCTCTGAATAAATAAATAAATAGGTCTTTATTAAAGTTAAAAACTTCTCTGCATCAAAGGACACTATCAAGAGTGAAAAGAGGCCGGGCATGGTAGTTCACGCCTATAATCCCAGCACTTTGTGAGGCCAAGATGAGTAGATCACCTGAGGTCAGGAGTTTGACACCAGCCTGGCCAACATGGTAAAAACCCACCTCTACTAAAAATACAAAAACTAGCCAGGTGTCATGGCGTGTGCTGTAATCCCAGCTACTCGGAAGGCTGAGGCAGAAGAATTGCTTGAACCTGGGAGACTGAGGTTGCAGTAGGCCAAGATCAGTTGTGCCACCGCACTCCAGCCTGGGCAACAGAATGAGACTCTGTCTCTAAAAAAAAAAGTGAAAAGACAACCCACAGAATGAGAAAAAATATTCACAAATCATATGTCTGATAAGGGGCTACTATCCAGAATATATAAAGAATGCCTACAACCCAACAACAAAATAACCCAATTCAGAAATGGCAGTAGATTTGAATATATATTTCTCCAAAGAAAAGATCCAAGTGGCCGGGCGCAGTGGCTCACGCCTATAATCCCAGCACTTTGGGAGGCCGAGGCGGGTGGATCACAAGGTCAAGAGATCAAGACCATCCTGGTCAACATGGTGAAACCCCGTCTCTACTAAAAATACAAAAATTAGCCGGGCATGGTGGCACTGCCTGTAGTCCCAGCTACTCGGGAGGCTGAGGCAGGAGAATTGCTTGAACCCAGAAGGCGGAGGTTGTGGTGAGCCGAGATCGTGCCATTGCACTCCAGCCTGCGTAACAAGCGAAACTCCGTCTCAAAAAAGAAAAAGAAAAAAGAAAAGATAGAAGCATACAAGCACCCTAGATCCACCTGAAAAAGAGCCACAGTGTCATTCATCACTGGGGAAATGCACATCAGAAACCTGGGGAATGCCACTTCATGCCTGCTCGGATGGTGTGATACAGAAATAGAAAACAAGAGTTGGTGAGGATATGGAGAAACTGGAACCCTCCTCCGTGGCTAGTGGGAATGTGAAATGGTGCAGTGGCTATGGACACTTTGCCAGTTCCTCAGTCAGACAGGATTACCACATGACTGAACAGTTCCACTCTTAAGTACGTACTCAAAAGATTTGAAAACAAGGAGTCAAACACTAGATCCTTGCACACCTATTTTCATAACAGGATTATTCACAGAAGCCCAAGCACAGAAACAACCCAGTTGTCCATCAGCAGATGAACGGGTAAACAAGTGGTCTGTCCATACAGTGGAACATTACTCAGCCAGAAAGGAATGAAGCATTGACACACACTACAGCATGGATGAACCCTCAAAATATTATGCTAATATTTAAATTTGACTTTGAGGCTGGGCGCAGTGGCTCACGCCTGTAATCCCAGCCCTTTGGGAGGCTAAGGTGGGCAAATCACTTGAGCCTAGGAATTCGAGACCAGCTGGGCAATGTGGCAAAACCCTGTCTCTACAAAAAATACAAAAATTAGCCAGATGTGTTGGCTCACACCTGTAGTCCCCACTACTTGGGAGGCTGAGGTGTGAGGATCACTCAGCCCAGGAGGCAGAGGCTGCAGTGAGCTGAGATCGTGCCACTGCACTCCAGCCTGGGCGACAGAACAAGACTCAGTCTCAAAATTTAAAAAAAAAATTGACTTTGATATTTAAGGAATCATTACTATTTGCAGTTTTGAGGATGTTACTGATATTTTTTAAAGGATGTTTTTAAGAGCTACGTCTTGAAATATGTAGGGATAAATGAAATATCGGATTTGTTTCAAAATAACCTGTAGAGGGCTGTGGGGGGACTGAGGTCAGATATACAGACATTTTGTAAGTTATAAAGGTATATGCCCTGGTTTTCATTGTCCATTTGAATGAGGGTCAAAGTTTTCTGAGTGAGTCCTGACTTGGTGGTTTGCCTTGTTGCAGGACCATGTTTTCTTATATGAAGGAGAAGAACCAAAATCGGATCTTAAAGGTGAGCTTTTGCTTTCTGACCCTTCTCTTTAGTGGCATCATTCTTTCTGGAAGAGTTGTTGGTGTGTCCCCTGAGAATGAAAGGGAGTATATCTCTGCACTTCTGAGCCAGCTGATTAAAACAGGCTGGGGTGTGTCCACTGTGAGAGGATTCAGCATTTGAAGAAGGCTAGGGTGAAATGCTGGGACTTTGTTGTCGTGCTCATCAGCCTAGGCCCAGGGCCATGGGTGGTCTCGCAGAAGCGGATCTGTGTAGTGAAGGGCAGGGATCCTAAACCCTCAGTGAACTCATGACCGAGGGTTGAGCTGGCAGAACTAATCGAGAAGAGAGCGGCACAGGGAGGGGCAGGGGATGGGGACAGGTATTTCCATGGTGGGTCACCTTGAGAGTGAGCCACTGCTCAGGCTGAGCGGCAGACTTCGACTCCTCTGCAGCTCTTTAGCCTGACCACGGACATCGGTTGCTGCCTTTGGGTCTTCATTTCCCTTAACTAGTGACCAAGATTCACCTTGGAAAAGCCCAGGGTAACAACGACAGGGCCTGCCTTTGCCTTGCTCGACCCTCAGCTAGGACGCATTCATGCCTCTCCTCAGGATCACTCTCAGGGAGCTTGCTTTTCATACTTGTGATGGAAGAAATGGAGGCTAACAAGCAATATAAACAATTCACTTAGGGAAAAATCAAGGAGTATTTATAGTAGCAAGCCCTAACTTTATGCACATTTCCTTTCTTTCTTTTTTTTTTTTTTTTTTTTTTTTTTTTTTTTTTTTTTTTTTTTTTTTTTTTTTTTTTTTTT